GCACCGAGTACAACCACAGACCTGTGCTAGTTCCCACCAGGTGTGTCTGAGGGTTTGTCATGCTGCGGTTTATGTACGGCATTGTTCCACTGGCGCTAACACCAGGAACGCCGCACAGGCACAGGTGTTTCAAGGTCAGGTTGCTGGTTTGGATTGAGGTGCATGAGAGCGTTATATCCATCATTAGATGTATTCATAGCACCGATTCTCTCCAGCCTGTGCAAGTTGTACCTGACTGTTTTCTTGCAGCAGGGAGCGGGAGACTGCTGAGTGACACAAACCACAGCATGGAGGCCACTTACCGCACACGGGGAAAGAACCTGGTTGCTCTAACAGACCCTGGAGGAAACCAGGACTGCATCTAGGGTGTGGTAAAGTGATAAAACTGAGCATCCCTCCCACCCTTAGGGGTAAGTGCTTGTTTAAACTCTCTTTGTATTGGGTGTGTCAGAGGTGTGGGCCTAGAGGATCTGTCATAGCCAGAATTAACATGTGTTCTTCTTCTGTAGAACAGATACAAAAAGGCCTTTCCAGACAGATATTTTTCCCCTGCATGAGTGTCAACACAGAGTTCATTTCAGGCAAGTTCTGTGGTGAAGAGAAAGGTAAGGTTAGGTGAAGAGCCCTTCCCATCAAACCAAACTTGAAGGAAGGCCAGGACTGCAGGGCTGGATTAGGACTGGGCACATCCCAGCACATAGGGTGGTGAGTAAGATGCATCTCCTCAAGAAGGCATCGAGCCTCAGAAACACACCTTGCATTTGAAGTTCCCTTCCTCGTACAGGATGGGAAGGTGGGACTATTCGTTTTCCATGCAATACCTACCATCCTATGCACTGGCTCAGGCAATAAGGCCAGTGAATAAAACGAGCAGATAATCATGATTTCCCTTGCCTCCATGTCCATCCTGCAAATGGGCAACCAAGCAGGTAGGCTTGTTTACTCCTGCATGCCTGGATCCATGGTCCAGATAGCTAAGCAAGCGGACAACAGAGTGTTCAGTTCATTTACTTTTAACTCCTGCACAAGACAAATGAAGTCACCATGTGGCCTTCCTTTACTGACCACTCAATCTTCTCTGCAAACCATTCCCTACCTATGGCCACAGCACGTTCACTTCAAGCTCTTCTTAAAAAGGGCTTGAGAAAGCTCATTTATAAATGGATGAACTGTGAATATGGAGAAATAACACATTCCATTGGTGCTGTGTCATCCTGCTCCATCATTCATAAAACTTCACGTGTATCTAGACCCTGTCAACAGATCTGCATTAAAGACCATGCAGTATCAGCAGTCTATAGCGTCAGAAACAGACAACATCTAAATCCACCACCATTTCAGTAACATCTCTGCCTGATTATGATAGATAAGGATTTGAGGAAGGCATGTCAAAGATAAAAGGAAAGCTACCCCTTGCTCTTGTTTAATTTCCCTTCCAATTTCCTAAAAGGCCTGTTGCGGGAATGACTGTCACCAGAAAGATACAGGGCCCAATTTAAAGCCATCGCACAGGACTGCAATAAGCAGTTGCAGTCTATAATTTTCAAGTAACACCACATTTATGAAAACTGCAATGATCCCTTTTGCTGTGATTTGTGGACTCTGATGGCAGAAGAGCCAACCTCTCTCTCGAGCAGCAGAGAACAAGACAGAAAGATGAAGAGAAACAAACTGGCTGCTGCCTCAGCATGTAGGCTGCAAAATAAATAAAAAACAGTCTTTAAAAGTGTTAATAAAATATCTGCTAAGAGTGGAAGGGGAGATTAGAGCTGACAAGTTGGCCATAGGGCCTTCTTCAGGCTCTTCCAGTAAGAACTGAGACAAGATGACAAGTTGAGAAATAGAACTCTGTTGACATGGCCTGCATTTTCATAAATTTCCTGTTTCTTAATATTAAAATAAATTAAAAAAAAACCTGCAAAATTGAAACCAACGCCTGCAATACTGCGCAGTTCTGCTGAGTATCCTGTACCAGGCTTTGGAACAAACACAAGAGTCACTGAAAAGCCCATAATGGACAATGTGCTGTATTTACTCAGTAATCACCTCTAATTTTTTTCACTGAGGATTCTATTTGAGTAGAAAGACTTCAGCATGAGTTGGATGAAGTCCCAGATCATCCTGCAGTGTTTAGGGAGAGCAGCGTTACTACTAAAAGAGCGAACCAGAAAATGTACTGGTTAGAGCTTATTATCTTTTGGGTTTTTTTCCAAATCCTAATAAAATCAGCAGAAAAGCTTTCATTAGGTCTAATCCCTGTCTGAAAACCAGTTAAATTCTTTCTGAATAAGGATTAAAATTGTGGCATTTGGGAAAAATTCATGAAGAAACCTAGATGTTTTAATAAACAGCTGAAACAGCAAGTGTTTAGTGCCATTATACCTCTGAAGAGTCAAACCCAGATTCCCCATTATCACCATTTCATTCATTCTGTGCTTCAGGCAGCTTTAATGCTTCAAATCTGAAGTATCTCCTCTTCTCTCCCCCCACCCCCCAAAGCAGCTTTATTATGAAATAAATTATAACTCTGCCTCTAGTTTTGCTGTCTGGGAGTTTCTTTCCCAATCCAACATTTGGGAACTAGGAGTTTTTCTCTAAATTGCTCAGACTAAGCAGAAGTAACACAAAAGATTTTCCAATTACATCATTTTATTTTTATCATCATCATCATCATTATTATTGTCATGATCTTTTCTTTGGCGTTTTAGTTATTACCTAACCGAGATGTATAGTGCCGCACAGCACGTACTCTGCTTTCACATTTCAAGCGAGCATAGCCATGCAGAGATTAGAGGTCCAACAAAGAGTTTATCATAAGTGCATCTAGTATTGTTTCTAATCAGTGAACTGCACATCAGTACAACTGTGCCAAAGGCTGGCAGGTTACAGAAGTATTCCTCATGCAGTGAGCTCAGTAACAAGGATGTTTCAGGAGAATGGGGTTTTATTAGCTTCACTCATATTTTCAGCTGCATGGATGTTTTGATATTCACTGCACCTTCCTTGGTGGATGCAGTAGAAGATGTAAATCTTAATCCCTTCTGAGCAGGGAAGACTTGAAAGGTAACAGTATAAATCTGTCCTCACCATATTAGGCATGGGGAGAAAGCAAAAAAGACCCTCAATATACAGTTTACACCCCTGTAATGAGAGCTACAATCCTAAACCTCAGCAGAAGAACTTAAATCATTAGTCCTGCTGGGGAAACCATGCCTGAAAAGGATAACATTTCGGCAAGGGCCTTCTCTTTGTTAAGGCCTTTGTTAAAGTTGTGTCAGAAAGTGGACTCATCTGTGGTGGAGTTGGCCTTTAAGTGAGAATACACTGGGCTTTTGAGAGATCATAAGAAAGCTGGACCTGTCAGCTATGCTCCTGCCTTGAATTTCAAGGTCTAGGAAGGCCCTGATCATAGTCCATTCACCAGTACTTTAGGCTAGTTTCTGCTTAATGAAGTCTAGAGAAATAGTAAATGACTGTCCAAAGGCTGTCACTTATGTTGGACACCATCTCCATGCTAGAACATCAGAGATAGAAAGAGGCAGGCTAGCAACAAGCTTTGGCAGCACAACAATAGTGAGAGACCAGGCACACATGGATAATAAGAGCTCTCCTACTCACTGGTTTCTGCCATTTTCTTACCCAAACAACCAAGGCTTCCTTTACAGGCTTGATCAATTGGCTGTGGCCAGTGGTATGAGACTCAATAAGGCAAATGCATTCGGGGCTGCACTTGGGCCACAACAACCCCATGCAATGCTCCAGGCTTGGGGAAGAGTGTCTGGAAAGCTGCTCAGTGGGAAAGGACCTGGGGGTGCTGTCTAATGGAGCTGAACGTGAGCAGCTTGTGCCACCAGCATCCTGGCCTGTATCAGCACTGGTGTGGCAGCAGGACCAGGGCAGCAACTGTCCCCCCTGTACTGGACACTGGTGAGGCTGTACCTTTGATCCTGTGTTCAGTTCTGGGCCCCTCACTACAAGAGAGACATTGAGGTGCTGGAGCAGGTCCACAGAAGGACAACAGAGCTGGTGAGGGGCCTGGAGCACAAGTGTAATGGGGAATGGCTGGGGGACTAGGGGGGTTTAGTCTGAAGAGTTGGAAGAGAAAGCTCAGGGGGCATGTTATTACTCTCTACAGCTACCTGAAAGGAGGATATAGTGAGATGGAGGTCAGTATCTTCTCCCAAGTTACATGCAATAGGACAAGAGGCAATGGTCTCAAGCTGCAGCAGAGGAGGTTTAGATTGGATATTGAGAAAAAATTATTCATAGAGAGGGTGCTCAGGTATTGGAACAGGCTGCCCAGGCAGTGGTGGAATCACTGTCCCTGGAAGAGTTCAAAAACAGTGTAGATGAGGCCCCCAATTATATTGTTTAGTGGTGGTCTTGGCAGTCCTGGGGGAATGGTTGGACTTGATGATCTTAAAGGTCTTTTCCAACCCAGCTGATTCTATGATTCTGTGATTCCTCAGACTATCAGGTGAGACTCTTAATGAAGAAGTTATGTAAGGCAGTTAGTTTGATTCACCAAGCTGCCACACTGGCAACAAGTTTACACAACTTCTCCACCCAAAATCAAGAGATTTAACCTGTAGGAATAATTGTACCCCTTTGGCAAGGGTGGTATCAAACGCTTAAAAAGGCAATCAAAGCAGAGAAAAAGGGAAAGCAACATCATTTTGGATAATTTGAGCAAAGAGGTAATACATATCTCTGTGTCACAGAGAAGATTGGCCAATGCAATATACATTTATTCTTATCTCAGAATTGTATTTCTCAAAGTAAACCATGCTTAAGTTAAAAGGAAGCACATAAATCTTCTCTTATTGTCATCTTGCAACTCAAAGAAGCTGCTAATTATATTATAGATCTTCCAGAAGTATGTATAGTAATTACCAGTTTCAGCCACATTATTAGACTTGCAAATAGAGTTTGCTCTTTGCAAGCATGTCATGAGCACAGGGTCAGACCCAAAATTGGGTAAATAAGCACAGACTCAAGAAAGTAGGTGGGAAACCTTAACTGTACCTACCTACTCCAATATGCACTGGATGAAAACACCACCTTTAAGATGTACATAGCTTCCATTTTGGTGTGCTCACCCAAGTCAGGAGTTACCTCAGGCTTTCCTGCATGGCCATCTCATAGCAATCATCGGTGTTTGACTTGGGCCCAAACTCAATGTATTGGAATCAGGTCTCCTCAGATCTCAAAATGTTTCAGAAATAAAAGTTTCCTATTGTTCTTAAAATAAGAGTAAGTTAAAGGCCTCTGGAGTCCTTGAGAATCCCTTGAAACTGCATCCACCTGGATGATGGAAGCAGCTTTTTTCATCATTTACATAAACAGGCAAAAAGGAAATATAGTTAAATAGCAGGGTCTGGTTATACTACCCACTTTCTCCATATACCATAGCTGAAGACAAAAAGTGCTACCAGCATTAGTCTTAAGTATTTACCTAAATTTTTAATGCTTATATCTAAATCTTAGGCATATATATGCATACATACATAGGAAGAACCAGTTCTATCACTTATTTGTTCTATTTGTCTGTGTTTTCTATCAACTGAGCACTGGCTGGAATTCTTAAACCAACAGGAATTATGTGGGCAAAAGACTGAATGATAGGCATGCAAAGTAGTTTTCAAAAGCATTATGTGACTTACAAGCTGAACTACCACTATGAAGAGTCATGTTTTTGATAAAGTACTCTTAAGTACAACATATTATTCCACAGATAATATAGAATATAGATACTAATATATATCTACTCAGAATTAAACTTTCTTCCACATTACATCTCTCTACCATATGAAATCGTCATTAAAATCTCTACCTCAAAAGGGTGGTAGAAATGTAATAGTGAGTAAAATAATAGAGTAGACAAATGGTTAATATTTTCTCCTTGGCCAGTTGGGACATTTAAATATCATCATCTCTTCCTACCTCAAGCATCCTCTGAAGCCACAATAATATGATACAAGTATGTGCTCTCATTGTGAATTTAAAGTTGCAAAACTTTTTGATACCTTTACCAGAAAGGTTTAACATGAGTGCAAAGCCATTTTTTTAATGAAAATAAGCCATACAGTCATTTAAACAAAGACATCTTCCTATTGCTTTGTGGCTGCAGTGTCTACTCTTGCAAAGTACCAAGGCTTCTCTGTTCTCATTGAGAATAAGAGTTGAAATAAAAGTGGAAAACATTCTTCTCTGCCCAGCTGGATGGACAGTGTTTAATGTGTAACATCCTCCTTGGGAAAAGACTCTAAAGAAGAGTTTCAAGATTAATATCCAATTTCCAGGCTTTCACACTATTTGGCAATCACTCAAATCTAACAGTGAACCAAGGGAAACGTTAAAAAGCCAAAGGCCACAAACCTGTTTAAACTAGTAGAGGGTTCAAAGTTTCCTCCAAGATCTTGAGCTATAGTTTCCAGGTATCACTGAAGTAAAAAAAATAGGCAGCCCCACAGATAAGCTCCTATTTACTCTAGATGAACCAAAGAACTATAATGAATCACACTTTGGACCTTGTTCTTAGCCATAATTAGTACCTGATTATTTTGGCTGCTTACTGAAAAGTGACTTCAGTACAAACTACAACCTTTCTGAAGTGTTTAGGAGCAAAACAGCTGGAAAAATAAAAAAAAAAATAAAGGAAAAAAAAAAACCCAAACAGTTGCTACTAATGGGGAAAATGATGGTGAGGAGATATTTATGCCTCCTTGCCAAGTGCCTGCTGCAGTCATTGATATTCCTGTTCTTGCTGAAAACTTCGTAAGAATTCCACTGCCTCCAGAGATTGCAAGAGAGAGTGTTCACAACCAGAAGCGTATGTGTGAAAGAAAGCAGAGACAAAAAGAAGTAATAATGCAGAGTCCTTACTTGTGCTTGGCATCTACAATCCCCTGGTTGTTACACTGTCTTGACATAGTACTGGTTTTAGTTCTCTTACTGGGTGTGATCCAGATCCTTATATTACAGCTTTCACAAATGAGACTGCCAATAGGAATCCTTCCTCTCTTTCCGACCATCTTACAGGAATAAAAAAGGGTGCATTTTGAGGGAGGCAAACCATTTAACTGTTCTCCTTTAAATAAAGCACAGTAAAAGTCCATTTTACTATTCTAAAACTCCAGACACCGAGCTTAATGAAGGTAGAAGAACATAATCAGTATCATTATGCTCAAGTAGCACACAGTTATTTATATGATTGTTCATCCAAAATACCAAGTACTGAACACAGGTACAGCAAAGAGTGTAAACAGACAAGGAGAACTAGAAGAGGAGACAGAATACAGGCTAAGTCAAATATAGCTTTTTAAAAAAATCAGTTTCATTTTCTAATGACAAAATACTGAACAACTTTTTCCTTCCTTAGAGAAGACAAAGTTTTTTCTCAATCTGCTAAATATTTGTGTATTATGTGATGTCCTCATCTGATTACCTGATGAAATTAACTACTCTGCACGTTAAGGTCTGGGCTATGACACCTTATGCCAAATTACTTTTTTAGTAATGCAATCTTTTAGTAATGTAATTACTAAATTTAGTAATGCAATACTTTTTTAGCCTGCAATCCCTTTCCTGCAAAAGAGAACTAAACTAACCTTGTTGATAGTTAGGGAAACCCCAAAGTTTACAGTAAGTATGAAATCATCTTATATCTGAAGAGGGATATATGTCTTTTGCAGTGAGATTCACAGGATCTCTCTTGGCAGCTGATAAACAGTTGTCACAGCTGGGCAGGATCAGGTTCTCAGAAAAGTATGTTGAGCTTCAATACATTGACTCCAAGGTCACCAAGAAACCAGTTGAAAACAGGAAACATCTCTAGCCCCATGGATTATAAAGATTCCATATAACAAGTGGTTACAGTAAATTCCATTATAAGGAAATGCCACCAACAGCTAGGGCTGTAAGCTTTTAAAAACAGGGGGTGTGTCACTTGATTCTTGGAATCAAGGACTTTCTTAAATCAACATGAGTGAACTGGAGGGAAGAAAGACTGACGCATTGTCCATTATTTTAGTCAGGTCTCATATTTTTCCATAGAAATTTAATACCAAGCCAGTTTTTACACTGTTGGGTCCGAATGCACCATCCTGAATAACCAGCTCTTATCAGTTCAACAGGCTGGCACCGTGTATTCCGAGGATTGTCACTGACCTGTCCTCCCTGGTCTGGCTCTGCAGTGCAGGTAAACAACTACTGTCTTTCTGTGTGAGCAGCTCCTGCTGGCAGCTATTCCCTGGTCTGGAAAACAAATTGCAGACCATTATCAGCTCTTCTGGTAATTGCTGCAGAATGGAAACTGAGTGCAATAAATCACAACATCATTATACTAAGGCCCAAATGGTCTGGCATATTTTTTGCTTAAGATGGTTAATACAGAAGTGGTGTAGCCTACAATGGTAGACAAAAATACCCTATATTGACTGGTTTGCCTGTGGGCTTTTTTTGTACTTGTTTACATTGCAACACTTTTTAAATTACTAAAAATAACTTTGTCTTTAGCTACAACACTAACATTTTGGGTTTTAACTCTGTGGGAAAAAAAAAATCCTCAGTCTTTACATATGCAAGCCTTGAAGTCTGCATGCGGCATTACATCTGTAACAGAGGTACCCCACATACCTAGTGACTGTCGGCTAAAGGTTGCTGTATTTTCATTGTTTGTATACTGTCTTGAAGGCAAATGTGCAGTGACCAACAATATCTCAGTGTTTACATGGACATCACATGGTTTCCAGTAAAGTTTTTCATGCCCAGGCAAGAAGTTACCTGGGTCAAAGTAAAGTTCTCCGAAGTCCAATGTAATACATGAACTTCAAAACTCAGATCTTAAAAGAAAGAAGATGCAAAACCGGGCAGTTTCAAACAATCATTAGGTCATGTGAACAGGAGAAGTTTGATGGGATTTCCCTTGGGATATTCCAAGTACATGTACAAACCCAGGCGCTGAGCCAGAAGGATCCAGGCATGTCAGTGAGGTGCACGATAGGGAGAAGTCAGCAGTCGTGTTCAGAAATATGTGTTTAATGTTCAGCCAAGGAGCAACATTAACGGCATTTGTGGATTTGCCATATGCCCAGAGAAAAGTGCAAGGATGGAGTAGAGGGAAAGGAAATAAATAAAACTGGAGAGGGAAAATTATATATAATAGAATTTTGCTTCTCTCTCCAGTTCCAGGCCAGCTCATCAAAGCCAAAAGGTAATTCCATTCATTGCACTATCTTCCATCTTGTTCAGATTTCATCCATGAATAAGCAACTGGATTTCTACCAGACAACTGGAAACCTACCAAAAGCACAACCCTCTGACATGCTAGCAAAGCTGGAATTAGATAAAACATTCATGAGAAAGACCCACAGATTTAGTGGATGTGACTTTCATAAATGTTGGTGTTCAGAAAGAGCAGCTTTATAGAAAACATTTGCCCCTATTCCACAGTCTCTGCTAAAATGAGTTTAAACTATCCAAGTATCAAATGTATCTTCTTTTTTTTTTAACTTTTTTTGATGGTGGCATCATTATTATTTTCATCCAGTTAAAAAAAATAAAAGGCTTTGCAGGACTTGTACTAAACAGGTTAGGATTATTATAATCAAGTTTTGATTGAAATACTATTAATGATCTGTCCTGGGAATACAAAGTATGATTTTTGGATTGATAACATGTTTGTGATGGAAAGCACATTGTTTTAATCGGATTCTTGGAGAAAATACTGTAAAGCTTGTTTAATTCATATTTTAATCCAGACTGCCCTGTGCGCATGTACGTGGCTGCAAACATTTATGTTCATCACTACTTCATGGGGAAAAAGTATGGGACAGAGCAGCAGATAAGGCAGTATGCCTCTTTTCAACCAAGATCATGGAAGTGCTACTAGATGCTACCACAACTGACAAAGGCCGCATTGCCATCAGTGCCAGACACACCTCCCCTGGCCATTGGCCATGGTGAGCAAGGCTGTTCCCTGCCTGCACTTCAATTTTTGTGACCCTTCTACAGCAACACATCTAAGCTAGAAGAAGAGCCATTAAGCATTTTCTTTCCTTTTAATATTCACTACTCTGTATGTTCAAAGCAACTGGTACCAGCAACATGCTATGAGCCGCACTCTGTACGCTGGTAGCTGCTCTGGCACTGAAAACAAGACGCTGACTAAAGGTAGGGTAAAACAGTGGTATGGAGCAATCCCAATTTAATTGAGAGCTGACAGCTATTTACATCACCAAGGATTTAGCTGCAGTGTAACTGCTCTTATGACAAGCTGTGCAGCTTTCGACATTGGACAGTATACTTCCAAATCTTTTACGTTTTGACAGTCTCCCTAATCATTCAGCAAATAAATCCCCAAATGGCATTTTCAAAAATGACAGGTTTACTGCTACCATCTTTACAGCAGCTATTCCACAGCAACTGTTATTTTTGGAGTTGTTGGGGGGTTTTGATTATTTAAGAAAAAGAAACAAAACAGGCTGCTGCCAGTACTCTTAACCCAATAAACACTGCCTCTTACATACAGACAGTGAAAAACTGATTACATTATGGAATAGTCAGTAACAATGGCTCTTATACTACCATCTATCTACATAAATGTAACTTCTGGTGCTGGTGAAACCTAAAACAATATATTCAAATGCAGACTACTTGCTACCGCTTACTCATTATTTCAGTGTTATCATATCGCTCAAATTAAATACAAGACAATGTCACGTCCAGTCTGAGCTTCTGGTATCAGAAAATGCTGCAGAAGTGCACAATTCACAGGACTTGTCTTTCTACAAAACATTTTGCTGATTGCAATTCTATCAACAAAAATGAAATTCTTATTTAGAAGAGTGGATACTGGCAGGGGAAACTCTAGAACAGCTTTGCTAATTCCAGCTCTGTCAGATACTTCAGTTTGCCAAATACCTGCATGGATTTCTGAGTGTCTCCCTCCAGCATTACCCTGTCTTACAGTGACCATTCTCAATACTAATGTTATTTCTGAAAAACAACTTACTGTGACGACATTTCAGCTAGAATCAGCATTGTCTTTAGGCATTTGGGCTGTGTCTGAACCGTAGAAGAGGTGTTTCCTCAGTCTACTCCTATTCTTCAGCCATGTCCACAATTCCATTTTAGGCCAAAATCCAGAAACATATCACAACTTAATCCTCTTGCTCTTTTTATTGTGGGAAGGAACCCAGGTGCATGTGCTGGATGGGAACTTAGACGGATGCCTGCGGCACCGGGATCTCCTGGCACATTGCCACTACTTTTGCAGTCCTTGCAGTACAGAACATAGTCTCAGATATGAGGTGATGAGTGCTGCATAAGACACATCAGCACTTATCACAGCATTATTGAAGTTGGGGGTTGGAAGAAGATGGACAGATGGGATGAAATCTATAGCTGCCATCCAGTTCCACCTCCCTCCCAGTGCAGGGCTAGTGCAACCTGTAGATCAGACCTGGCTTTGTCTGTCCAAGTCCTGAAAGCCTCCTTGGATGGAGGTCCCAGGTCTCTCTGGGTTACCTGTCCCCAGCTGCACTGCCCTCCCAAATGCAGTGAGCTATAGGAGGAACTGAGGAGTTCAGCAGTGCTCATAGCACCAGGCCTCTTAAACACAGTCTAAATGCATTTTCTGAGAACTGTAATCAGCTAATAAAATATTTCTAATCTCTGAGCTGCATAAGAGGCATGGTATTTCATTGACAGTGATTGAAGCATTTATCACTTTACCACTTGTTTTCCTCACTGAAGAGAACCATTTATCTGCAGTGTCACCTGGAGAATGGTGGGTGTTGTCAGAAGATCAAGGTCCAGCATCAGGTTATGTAACGAGCATTAACCACTTCATCCCACTTCCCTGGGCAGTATTTTAACTTCATTTTTTATTGAGCCCGATTATTAGTTTACAACAGGCTGTAAATGATACAAGCAGCAAACCTAGATCACCTTCTACTGGCCAAAGAGAGAGATGACTTTTTCCTTCAATAGAACATCACTGCTCCTGAACCTTTGTCCTGCAAAGGACAAAGTTTCGGCAGCCTTAAAAAGCACTAAGATCAAAAGACAGTTCTATCTAGGCTGAACTGCAGTTATTTATGTCAGCATTAGATCATTATAGGAGATTATCTTCTAACGGTTTGAATTTTTGGGTTAATAGCAGGGTTCCCCATGTATGTGCAATCAGCCAGTATAATAGGGAGTTTCAGCAAATCAAATTAAAGGGCCCAGGAGGCATCTGCCCACTTTCTGTAATCAGAAACAAATTCTGAAAATGAAAAAAGATTATTTTTTTTCTTATTTCTTGTAATCCATTTCTACAAAATGGGGTTTATGCAGGCTATTGTAATATGGGGGAAAGAGCGTATTAAAAGTGTAATATATTCTCTTTACTGATCATGATCTGAGAGTTAAAAGTGTGTTTGAAACATTGTGTTTTGCAATCCAGCCTATGTGATGAGTGATAAGTTATATAGCCATAATTAACAGTGGTGATAAATAAAATGTATTACATTCTGTACAGCCCTATTTGCATTGCAAAAATCCCTATTTAGATTACAATGAACTCTAAATTACAGAGTAAACAAGTTTTGGCTACATCTTGGGGCCCAGCAGGGAGGAAGGTATCGTTTGCCACCCCAGCAGAGGAATGCTGTTTACATCCAACTGGACTGTACTTGGAGACTTTGCAGCTTTAACACACAAGGGGCTGCAATCAGACCCCCTCCCAGCCTCTGTGCTTAGTGGTTTTTATTGGACGGCTGTAGGCTCTCTACTCAACACCAGAAGCTTTCAGCAGTGCTTAACTTTCCCAAAAGTGGTTAGGGCTCAGGGGATTAGGCTGAATATAGCCTACCTTTGAATCAGCTTGCTGGGCAGAAGACCTCCGGGTCACTGAAATGAAATGCTATTGTGTGCTTTCATAAATAAACAAGTCTGTCATTTCATTTTGGAATAGAAGTAGATAAGGGACAATAGGATATTTAAACTCGCTCTTGTCTTTCCCCTTATGGAAAACATAGCAACATTCCAGTGGCTCAGATCACCCTGACCTCTGTCAATCTGCGCATCAGCATGAGAATGGTACAGGCTATGCTAATTGTGATAGTTGATGATCTCTTCTTAGAGTAGTGTTAAGAAGAGAAGGATGTTCACCTTCCAATATCCAAACACTAACAGGTCACCAGTAGGTATTTGACACATATACTCTTCTGTGCTCTAACGGGTTTATACAAAGTTCCAAGTGTATGCTTCCTTTCATTAAATGCACA